CAGTAGAGACCATTGTTTGAAAGGGTCATTACAATCAAAGGCTATTTCCAGGTTAAAGAAAAACCTACAGCCCATGCATCACCGTGCACACAGACCAGTGCTTCATATCAGTCCTATTAAACATGTGCGTGTTTACCGCCGCTACATGAATCCTTGCCACCAGTCCATGCGCTAAGCTATGCCTTGCCTATTACATCACCACGGACTTCATCCTGACGGTTTATCAGGACTATTCAGAAGAGCTAACCTGTGTGCGCAAGAACACATGGGTATTTATAATATATCCGTTTTGGTCAGCACAGCAAAGTAAGCAATGTTCCAATAGAGTAGAAATACACGGAGGATCACCTGCCCCTTGAATAGGAGAAGTGCCGTAGACTTAAAGGGGTTCTAAAGCCTCAGTTTTTTGCCTAGATCTACTACTATCAAGCAGTAACTATATGCAAAAAGTTCATTAAAAAAACGATTTAACAGCGGTTTAAACTTACCTCGCTTTCGTTGCGTGCTCCCGTCCGAGAAAACGAAACTGCTCCGGTGGCCACAAAGCATCTTGGGGCGGGCGCAGTTCGGATTCTCGGCCAGGAGACGAGCAGAGAGGCAAGGTAAGTCTATGGACGCGTGCACCCGCATGCAGACACCGTGGGACAGGAAGTGCCAGCAAGCAGAGAGGAGTCAGCGCTGGAACGGAGAGCCGCCGCACCGCTGGAGGGACAGATGAAAACATCAGGAAAGACGATCGGATTAAGAGACATAATTTAAGGTAAGTGCTAACATTAACATTGGGGGAAGGGAAAAAATATCCTTTAATGTCACTTTAATTAGATGTGGACAAATATTTGCAAACAACAAATGGCAGAGTTCATTCATGTGCATGGTTCTTCATTGCACAGATATGGTCTTTTGAGGTCTCCTTGTAACACACATTTCACCGAGTACACAGTGGATTTGGAAGTGAACTGACACAATTGTTGGATGTGTGCACTATCATCTTTGTTGACTAAGTGGCATACAACTGATTAATTCATTTTGAATTCATTATTCAATACCGGCAATGTAAAATTAAAGAGCAAGATAAAATATATAGCTCTGCATCCATATGACATGCAGTTTCTTTATAGTCCATAGTGAGTTATTCACCTCCTGGCTGACAACATCATTTATAGATTAACTACATAAGTGGAAAAGGTTTGGCATATTTGTCTTTTTGCAATACCACCACAAATACTGGCCAGTGTTATTCCCTGACTTGCACTTTTCATAGATTTTTATTTTTTTATTTTTAAAAAGAGAGCCTCCTCTTTTGGCATACAATGCTCCAGTAAGCAGCTTGTGCATGGCGATTTCACCTCACAAAAATAGTTAGTGCTGGGTAGGACCGTGGCGCACTGAAAGTGGCAGTTGCTGTAACATCAGACAAGTGACTTGTGGGAGTCTGCTGTTGATTTAAGCATTTGTGACAGTAGCAGCCCGGTTTCTTCTGAAAAAGGGTCACCTATTGTCTGGGTGTCATTAGAATAATCTTCTTTACTTATCATTCTATTTGTCAGGTAAATGTAGGTCGTACAATACATATATAAACAAACAGCTTTTGCTCAAACTAGCTATTGATTATATACTGTATGTATAGCATTTCTGTATAATACATCTAGTTAAACGCACATGTACTTTAAAGGTGGGCTAGTCCAGTTTCATTTTAACATGAATTGTAACCTTTGCTATATGATTTTTGAAGATTTTAAATGTAATCTTCCCTTACAACATCCAGACTTTGTAAAAAAAAAAAAAAAAAAAAAAAAATTTTTTTAAAAAACAGAAAGAAAGAAAAAAAAAAAAAAAACATTTTCTGAAAGCACAGGACAGAATGAATAAAAAGAAGATGGTTGCTACCAATTTTGAATTCCATTATATTTGCACATAAGGTTTATCAGAATGATTTTTTTTTTCCAATAAACACACTAAAATCACTATTGGCACACAAAAACACCACAACTGGCAAAATTCCTAATAAATCTAACAACTAAATTTGATTTGAATTAATATTTGAAAATATAACATTTTGATTTTTGAAATTGAGGCAGGTAGTGAGGATCAGAGGGGATACTGCTCTGTAGCCGCGCATAGATCTGGAACATGTGGCTGTACCGGGTGGGAGGATTTGACAGGTGCAACAGGATCAGGGAGGAGTCTTTTTTTTTTTTAACTGGCTTGTCATTCACTGATCACAGATTATAATGTATGCAGCAGAGTCAACTGATACTATTCTGCTATTGCTGAAGAGACCATGACATTATAGCAGAAGGGAGAATATAGCCGACATAAGGTACACTGACCTGGCTAAATGTGATTTGTACATTTCTGTTCCACCGTATGCCTTACAGTAGGGATGTCCCGATACCGATGCTAGCATCGGAATCGGGCCCGATACACTTACAGTGAGAGGGTTAAGGTGTGCAAGGAACAAACCTATTTGTGACAAGGCTCTGGACCTAGAGAGCGCTCCGCAGCTAACGCATTACACGAGGCGCTGCAAAGCACCATACACCACCACAGGGACCGCAGGTCACATTCCAGGCTAGCCCCACAATCTTGGATTAGCACAGTCTGGATACGGCCTCAAAAGTGTGGCTAAAGAAACACTGACCCACATGGCTGCATAAAGACGCTCAGCAGCATGCAGATGAAGTCCATTGACGCATAAAAAAGAAAATACTTCATATATTGTGTAGAAAATAAATTAGCAATATCTAGCTGGCCCATGGCTTTTTTTGCCAGTGTCCAAGTCCTTCTGTAGATAGCAGGATTACCCAACCATCCCAGAATAACTGAACCCAGTGTTCCGGCCCAGGGGTAAATGGAACAATACATGCTATAGTCAGAGTAAAGGGGAGATGACACTTAAAAACAACAGGTTTTCCAGATCTTTGGGCACTGACAATTTTAAGTGAGGCTCTTTTTAGCATTCGCTGAGGGCCCATTCACACCACATCCAGATCATCTCCAGACCAGACTGTTCACACCAGTGCAGTCCGTTCCAGATGAGAGCAGAAAAATAATGTATGTCCATTTTGTATGGTCTGGAAGGCACTGGAACTGCGGGCAGGTTCACACCATTTTCCGGACCAGATCTGGCAAATGGTGTGAACCTGTCCTGAAGGAAAGCTAGGGGAAACGAGGAGCACTAATGTTGAAGTAAAACAGGAGTTGTAGGAGTCCCATATCCCTGGGAAAATTAGGCCTGTATTCAAAATAAAAATGGCAGAAAATCGAAGTTTAAGCAAACTTGTAGGACCATAAGTTCCTATAAAAGAGATAGGAGTAAGGAGAGAGAAGTACTACAAGGAGGGAGCTGAAACTGAGTTGCCAAGTGACAGCCAAGAAACCTTAAGAATTTAGAGAAGATCTGTAAAGAGTGGACCAAAATCCCTCGTGAGATGTGTGCACACCTGGTAACCAACTACAAGAAACGTCTTACCTCTGTGCTTGCCAACAAGGGATTCTCCACCAAGATCCAAGTTATGTTTTGCTTGGGGATCAAATACTTATTTTACTCACTGAACTGCAACTCAATTTATAACATTTGTATCATGTGTTTTTCCGGATGTTTGGTTGATATGCTGTCATTTAAAATACACCCATGATAAAAATTATAGACCTTTCATTTCTTTGTAAGTGGGCAAATGTACAAAATCTGCAGGGGATCAAATATTTATTTTCCTCACTGTATTGTTCCAGTATTTTCACGCAGACTAACAAATCAGAAGTGGATAGAGGCCTAGTAGACACAGAGGAAATATGACACACTGGAAGCAAAATCTACAGTCCAGCAGAGAGTAGGCACGGCCTCCAAAACTAACGCTGAGCACACACCAATCCCGATAACTTACAGACCAGCCCCAACAGTATATAAACATCTACAGAGTATCAGTTATCGATAGTACTGGTAGAAAAGAAAATCATAGAAATACATTTTCTTCAGCAAACCTCCTAGGACACTAAGCTGCAAAGTTTTACTTTTTGGGGGGAGAAGGTTAGATACATAAGAAAAAGTGTAACGGGGAAAGACAAAAACCTTCAATATGATAACAATTTACTTTCAGGCATATGTCAAGATCAGAATAAGGATGTGCACAACATTAACATTGGTAGAGTTAAAACAAGTCATATTTTATCATTTTATTGATGGCATTTATCCAATGGTTTTACATGTTAAACTGTTATACTGTAATAAACATGGCTTTAATATTAAACTTACTAATTATCCAAAGTCACCACAGTCCATTTGAGTAAATATAAAAATATATACTTAATACTTTGTACAATACTGGTTTTTGGTCCAAACAAAAATGGATCAGAAAAGCCAATAACCTAATACCTTAAAGAATCTCCAATTTTCTTTAAAGACTATTTGAATGGAATTAGGCAACTTTGAATAATGAGATTTACATACAATAAAATTTGAGACATTTCTAAACAAAAACGAAAAAAAAAAAAAATTGCTGCAACACAAAATTAAAATTTCATTCAAGTTCACAGATTTAGGTTATGTTGAAAGGTATGCAGAAAAAAAAAAAAAAATTATATTTACATGAATATCAAAGGAAAAATAAAGGCGAAGTAGAATGGAAATAGAAAAAGGGGAGAAAAGCCTATCTTAGAAGAACTACATATCTAACAAGTCCAGAGCAAAGGACCATCCTTGACTCAATCTTTTCGCTATCAGAAAGGTTTTGGTGCACAGTACACTCAAAATCACACATACATCAGCACAACGAGGCATAGAAATCACTCATTTCCCTCATCCTCTACACTATACAGAATTCCTCCCTTGTAATTACAATTTCAAAGCGTCGGTAAAATAGTGGTGCAGATGAAAAAAGGTACGTATTGTACAAAAGCCATTCGCTGTGCGCGCTATATTTGCTTATATAGCCAGATCATGCCAAGTCAGGTACTTTAAAAGGTGACAGATTTGAGTAATAAATTTCACGTCACCAAATGTGTTTTTTGAACTGGGAGAAAAGAAAGGGTTAGGTGGTACTTTCAGATTGTATTGTCCTTGAATAGATCTGACTTCAACTAAACACAGCATGAGGTACACTCCAGTATTTGCACAATGCAGGACACCATCTCTCAGAAGCAGCTGATAGCTCAAATGTATCAGTTTTCTATTTTCTTCGTCTAGCAGTCTTAATTTTTCGATTAGAAATTGAAGATGGGGTTAATGTCTTTCCATTACTTCTGTGAAGAGAGAGAGAATATAAGCCAGCAATACTAAAGATTAATACTGTGCAAAATTATTACACCACTTGGGGACAACAAAAACAAGAATAGTGTGCCACACTAAATTAAACATAATGGAGACGGGCAGCAATTATAAACAGTTGTAAGTGCGGGCCTTTCCTGGCCAAGAACATAGCAGAATAAATCCTTAAAGTAGAACTATGGGGTTACGGCTTTTCCCCATAGTTCTCCTTAGAGTAACGGGAGGACACAAACTAGCGTCCTCCCGTCACCTTAGGCTCAGTATACAGCGAGCTGCTGCTCATGGTATACTGAGACGCCGCAGCTGAAGCGGATCCCGACAATTGTGCCAGGTTCCGCCCATCCACATGACTGACAGCTGGCTCTGCCTATCTAGAGGCAGAGCCAGCTGTACCTGCCCCCTACCCGGCCGTTCCGCCATACAGCGCAGGCGGATCGGAGCGGGGAATCCAGCCCCTCCCCTGGCACGGCAGAGAACTGTGACAGGATCGAGAGGTGAACGAACGCCGGTATGTGTTCGCTCACCTCCTGATCTACTGAGCCGACCTGTGACAGTCTCATTGTCACAGGTCGGCTAGAACTAGGAGGTGAGTGAAAAGCACTCACCTCATAGTTCTCCTTTAACCTGACCCCAACACAGTGCAATCCTTAAAACAGCTATTACCACCATCCCCATGTTGCCCCACACTTTAGTTTGAATGATCCATATGGACGATTCCATATGTGCAACTAGATTTCTGCATCTAAAAAAGAAGTTTAGAACAAGGCTTGCGATTCCAACTGTAGGGCAAAAAGTTAGCCAAAGGCAGCCTTTCTGGAGGAGGCAGTCACAGCAGTGCAAGCTGCCCTACCCAGAATGTGAGCAAATGGCACAGAGCCATGCTGATAGCTAGCACTTTAGTGGACCTTGAAAGAAGAGTCTCAAATAGAGCTTATAAAAACTAGAAACCATGATAGGGAAATGATTCTTTATCAGTCTTGAACGAGAAGCCTTTGCTCACCACCTCAGAGCTACACTACTTGGGTATTTCTTTGCTTCCTCTATTTCGGTCCCCTCTACTATATCATTAATCTCCAGATATAAACACAATAAATGGCTTGTTCTCTATACCTTAGAAGGACAAGTTAAGAGTGTGATCCAATAGTGGAAGGAACATTTGCGAGATTCTATAAATCTCACTTCTAAGTTCACTATATTAGAAGAGTGAAAAAAATAGTCATTTCTTTTGTGTTAATTGAGGGGCACATTGAGTTATACTGCCACCTACAGGAGTATTGGGACACAGGCAAACGGAAGGGCATCCCAGGATAACCACCCGTTATCAGCATATCTGGGTTTTTTTTTGCAAGTGTTCTAGAAGGATGGGCGTCTTTTCTTCAGCTCAGTTGTGTAAAAGATGAACCTATTTTTGCCAGCACCATTTTACTTTCATGTTCTTTCATCAAGACTCCCCACCATCGCTGCTAGAGTTGGTCTGATTGCAGCTATGTAACGCAGCCGCCCTGAGCCCGACTTTTGGAGTGCAGCATCTGTACTCCGTAGGAGTAGTTTGGAAGTGACCTTCAGGCACTGGGTTTAATTGTAAGGTGCTTTCCAGGTCCCATTGGTAACAAATTAGCCACAGAGCGCTCAACAGGTCCCAAGCCCTGGGCATTGCCTCAGTGCTTGCCCTGTCTCTGAAGATCCAATCTATGAGAAGGCTTACTGGGCAGAGGCTACCTCATTTTCTCTGATAGCACGGTACGTTTTTAAAAATGTCCCTACTTTTGGGGAACCTCTAAATTGTCCTTACTTATTGGAGGTGGGAAGTACCCTGTTTCCCCGGAAATAAGACCTACCCCGAAAGTAAGACCTAGCACTATTTTTCAAGATTCCTGTAATAGAAGACCTACCCCAAAAACAAGACCTAGTTGGGTGGTAGCAGGTGAGGGGGAACTTGAAGAGCAGGAGAGATGGTATCAGCCTGCAGGGACATACTTTATTAAGGGGATGACTGGAGACTCCCTCTGGCCAGCGCAGTGACAGGGAGCTCTCCAGTACCATACTTCACCAACTGCTGTCCCCCTGAAGGCACTGCTTAATGTAATGGTACGGTACTGTAATGTGTACCGGTAAAAGGAGGCCAGTGCTGTAGAAAGCAAGGCTGCGGCGGCGGAGGGAGCAGAGTCGCATTAGCCGATACTTCCCCACTCCAGAGCTACCATGCAAGGGACAACCTGGTCCCCAGTTATAGAAGAAAATCGGTCTGCCACAATGAGGGGGGGGGAGTAACTAAACCGAACAATTTAAGTAAATGGTAGCTCCTGGTGATTAGCCCAACTGGCCTATTCACAGTGTACTCAATGCCAGCGGTTCTGAACTCGGAAAGCACTCCACAGCCAACCTTTTCTAGAACAGAGTCCAAAAAGCATCTCATGTGGAACCCATAACATGGAAGCCATCAGGACCCAGATGTAGTACTCCAATAGCCAGTTTGAGGGCAACCTCAACGCTGCAAACAGACCGCTCCAGCAGTAATGTAGAGAAGAATCTGGACGAAAAAAAATGTGTGCGAAAAGTATCGTCCGAAAGTGCCTTTTTTTGGCCAAAATCCCTGGTTTCTCTCCATCCCGCTGGGCGCTGCTGTGTCCCAGCAGGGAGGAGAGAAACAGTCACAGGAGACTGAGCGGTACGGTAGGAGAGCGCTGTGAATGGCCGGCGTCTGTCCTCCCCGCACCGCTCAGCCTCCTGTGACAGATCAGGAGAGCGTTGTGTGTGGGCGGAGACAGCTCTCAATGCTGTCACAGGAGGCGGGCTGACAGTGCGGGGGAGGAGTCAGTTTTCAGATAGAGCTCTTCTCCCCACACCGCTCGCTCAGCCTCTTGTGACAGCTGATCCAGGATAGAGAGCAGGTACAAACACAATTATTGATCGCTGAGCGTTTGTACTGTAAATAACTGGAGGACAGAGTATGTTTACTGTGTCCTCAATCATGAATGAATGGGAAGTGATCTACATCACTTCCTATTCATTCATGATTGTGGATACAGTAAACATACTATGACCTCAAGTTATGAACAGGAACACTCGGTATAGAGGCTTCCTATTAATTTAGAACATGGGCTGCAGAAAGATTGCGGACTCTGTGTCCTCAATCTCTTTCTATTTTAAAAAGGGAAATATCAGGGGTCTGTTTAGACCCCTAATATTTCCCCAAAGCCCACACACTGAAGACATCCATCCTAGGATTCTGCCAAAAAACAGACATGCTGGTAGTGGGGGAGGTTATCCTGGGCTGTCCTACAGGCTAGCTTTTTTTAAATTTATGCCAGTATCCAACCCTCTTGTAAGCGGAAGTGTAACCTGAAGGTTAAAGACTTTGTTTCCCTCAATTGACAAGAAACAGTATTGTACATACCCTGAAGATGAATTTCAAATTGGAAATATACTGCTTAAAGTAAATTATGCTTACCCCATATTAAAGGATGGAGTCTGATTAAATGCAAAACTAGAATTGCCAGGCTGTGCCGGGTTAGCACCAGAATTTGAACCAAAAGTAAATACTCCTGTTGAGCTTGCACCACCAAAGTTGAAGTTTGCACCTCCAAACTGAAAAGAACCACCTGAAAACAAAAATATTTATTTGTTACAACCCTGTTGTACAAGAACATAGGACAGGAATCACATTTGGAAATCACATTTACAAATCATGAGTAGAAAATTGTAACCAAATCAAAATAAAAATAGTCATCGTCCCAAAAAGTTTCAGTTAAGTACTGTAATACAATGAAATTGAAGCTCACCTGAATAGACCCATCAAAGCTTTCAAATCAAGGCGTTCAAGCTGACCCCAACTATAGTTGGCTTCATAAATACCTGTTTCACCCAGTTGTTATACATGTATTGGTGACTGCATAAGTGCATCGTTGCACTGTCAGTAAGTGCCAAATCACAGGTAGATGCATTGTAGGCGAGTGCAGAAAAACAAACTGTCGTGTTGTCGATAGAAGTGCACAATGTTGCAGTGTCAGCGAGTGAAGACATGCATGTTGTTGAAGTGTCTATGAATAAGGAAGTGCACACTACTGGGATATTAGCAAGTGTAAAAGTGTGCATTGGAACTGATAGTCTGTGGTAATGCAGAGGTGTGCGGACATGCAGTGCCAAATAGTGCAGAAATACGTGGGGGTGTGGTGTTGGCGAATGCATAAGTGTGTGGAGCTGCATTGTTGACGAGTGGAGAACTGCATGCTGCTTAAAGTGCAAAAATGGGCATAGATGTGGAGTCAGCCAAAGCAGATGTGAGCACAGCGTGTTATCTGTCAGTGCAGAAATGTGTGGCGGTGCAGTATCAGCTGGTGCAGATGTGCGCTGCAGTGCATTGTAGGCAAGTGGGGCCTTGCATCCTGCTAAAGTGTGATGTCAAATGGCTCAATGCACATAAACATTTAGCAAAGTATGCATCTTTAGAATCTAGATGAATGTTTTGCTAAATGTTAATGAGCATTGAAGCCATTTGGCTAGATGCACACTCTGCTTCTGAAGCCAGGAGAAGTGGCAACCCTACTGACCAGTCTTTCCCCCCTTTGAAGCCATGGCCATCACACCTTGCCTCTCACCTGCCAAAAGGGGGGAAAGAGCTTTAAGTTAAAAAAAAATTAAAATAAAAAAACAAGTGCCGCGGGCAGGGCCTGATGTTTGGCTGTGGGTGAAGCATATTTATTGCCGTCCATTCCATGTAAAGGCCAGTGGAATACTCAACTGCACACTTGTGGACATAAGTAGGTGAAAGCAATCCTCGCCATTGCTATGGAACTCTTTCACTTTAGCAGAATGCCTGGGTGAGCAGAAGCTGTCCCCATCACTTGCTGGGTCTTTTATCTAATTATAGGACGCGTAAGTGGACAGTATTTAAAATGAAGGGGGTAATCTGTGTAGTGTTTAATTGAAACTGTACAAAGCAATGTACACACTCACGATTTAAGCTTGGTTTAATTATGTATTGAAAGCTTTGCTGGGTCTGTTCATGTGGTCTCTCAAAAAGTCCTATTTGGCACAATGCTAGGCTTAAATATTCAAAAATATATAATTTTTTTTTTTTTTTCCGATTTGGATAGAGTGGTGCAGGGAAAGAACCACAGTCAAGTTTTGAAATGCCATTTTATCCCACGTAAGCAGATTTACGCTTCAATTGACCGGATCAATATCCATGGGAATAAAGGGGTAAATACTTTTGTTGGCACCCGAACAGAAATAGAGGGGAAATCTTCCAATAGGGACAATTGTTCCAATGCTAACTCTAAAAAGGGGATTTTCTTTACATTGGAAAGAGATCCTCTCGCTTCCTGTTAAGTCCCAATGAGAAACCGATGGCAAAAAAATGCTGACAGCAGCTTTAACTCTCACCTACTCAAAGCAAATTGGAAAAAAAAGCAGCTTTGATCTCAAGGAGTTCTGGTGATAAATGGTCCAGCTTTCTCAACCAGCCCACAGTTGGACAAAATGTAAAAGGTGAAAAGAGGTGCCGGCCACAACAACTGAGGTGAATCGAAAAGGAAGACTAGAACTGCAATGGCCAGATCAACTAAGGTGTTTCCAAAAGGAAGACCGGTATTGTTGAATCCATATTAACAGAAGTCAATCTATCTCTGAAAGGAAAAACAGAATTGTGATGGCTAGATCGACTAAGGTGCTTCCAAAAAAGACTGGAATATGATTTGGCATAAAAACCACCTATTTTTGCTTACTTCATGTCTGTAAAGGTGACGGCTAAGACTGTACTAAGCTAAGACAGACTGCTAAGACTGGAATACAAGCATTATGGAGTATGCAAATAACTTCAATATAGAGGATGTTTTCTCTGTATATAGAAGGTAACACTAGTATTCACAAGCCACTATTATCAGGTTAACTAGGGTTCTTCCAAATCATTTTTAAACACGACAATCATGTGTACGATATTTTGTAAATGAGCCTAGACTATTACAACTGAATACAAAGCCAACCATATTTAAAAAAAAAAAAACTTTCAAACTAGAATTCACATGCTTTCTACTCTTGCACCCTATGAATTAAAATTTGTATAAGATATAAGAGATTAAAAAGGTTATATATGGGACTTGAGTTAAAAAAATAAAAACAAAACTGCATTGCTGAAAAAGCGATGTGTAAGAGCTGCACTTCCACCCGAGTGGGCTTTATTATCAGAGAAATTCACATGTAGCTTCTGAAGAAAGGTTTTCTACATACCAGCAGGAGGAGCTGCATTGGCTCCAAAAGTAGGCTGTGTACTTTGCTGTCCAAAGCCTGGGGGCTGTACAGTGCTTGACATAGACCCAAAACTTGGGGCAGTCTGGGAACCAGAGGGAAAGCCAGACACAGGCGCACCAAAAGCTGGGGCATTAGTTTGGGCAACAGTTTTCCCAAAAGTTGGTACAGAAGTGGCAGCAGCCAGGCCAGGTGCAGCTGGTGCTGACTGATTTACGCCAAAGATGAATGGAGTTGAGCTGGTACCTGAAAAGACAGCACAGACAGAAAGAGATCCAAGATTAAGCAATATTACAGTATTTGAGTAAAATATAGTAACCGTTATTACAAAACTGATAAGCAGTGACATTTTCATAAATACCTACCAAACTGAAAAATATACCTAAAAAAAAGAAGTGTAATAAAGCCTCCACTCCCCAAAACATAGTATTATAGTAGCTTATCGCTCCTTCAATATTGTAGCTACATGAATCATTTTTTTGCCAGCCTCTATTTAACACCTCCCACTATCAGCAGGCATCCATCATGAGGATCCCCCAAAAGATGTGAGGGAAGCACATTAGACCATAAGTAAACATAGTCCTCGCTGATAGACAAATCAGTCTATCCACAGATCAACTTTCCCTCTGACAGAATGTTGCATGGAGGTGGTCTGGAGTGCAATTGGGACTGCTTGGAAAAAGGCTACCACCAGCCCCAGGTTGTTCATGCAAAGGCAAAGAATCGGATGACTCCTGGACTGAAGAGTACGAGTCTGGGAGCAGAGTGTGAAGCTTCTGGGTGGGAGGCACTCTGGCTTGAACTGTGTCTAGGATTAGACCCAGATATTCTATGTGATTAGACTGTTTCAGTGCTAATTTCTGAAGGTTCAGAATCTAACAAAACCTCTGCAGGGTCAGGACTACATGGTCTGCTGGAATTTGTGCTGACTGATAAAGGGAGACTGATAGCCTGGGTGGATTCCATGCGGAATTTCTTGGCCGAATGAGCTT